TATTATTAGGGGGGGTTTATTAATATGAGGAAGTGATTAGTAGAAGTTTGGCTTCTACGTGACCATCAGACGGATTAATGTCGAGTCCCGATTCGTGTAGGGGGCCTTGATTGTGCAAAGCTTCGCCAAAATTTCTTCAGGACACCCTGCTTCGTTTGTCGGGCCTTATTTGTGCGAGGTATGGGCTTCTCGTTAAGGCACTTATTCGAAGAGACCGGACAATCATTTTTGCAAGGGGTAGCACCTGCTTGGGTTCTCAGAAAATACGAATGTTTCGGTGGGTCTGCATGATCCGAAATCTTCACGCTCCCCAGGAATTCCACAAAGCAGAAGCCTTTCCTTTTCGAGGCTTACTACCCCCATCCTACTGAATTCACTTTAAAACAGTGACTGAGTGCCACAGCGCTCTTCCTATGTAAGTTACTATATTGGGGAAGCCATCGTAATTACTATATATCCCCATTCATTATGGCAAATTAAACCCTAAACCCCAAATACCCCTGAGTTTGGTTTGAGTCGTCTACTGGGCTCCCCAACCGCTCCCTCTATTGAGTTGGGCTGAAGATAGCTACAGAGCTGTGCAATTCCCTCTCTATTGGATCTAATTTGAAACAGCTACTGCACTCCGCAACGCTCCTCCTGTTTAGTTTAATCTCACGCAGCGACGGAGCTACACAGATCTCCAAGAACTAGCCCCCTTTACTATAGCGGCCCCATTTTTGTTTCGGGTGGATTCCCCGCCAGTACTTGCACAAGGCGAAGTTTGAGCTGCTAGGGAATGTGGAGGGATACTCGGTAACATGTAAAAGGACAAGACCGCTCTCCTCCTCCTTCGATGAGACTTCAAGACATGGCAGTACAGCAGTGAGAGTTGCTCCCCCTTTGTCCCAGTGGTATGCGGTTTAGGGTTTAGGGTTTGGAGTTTAGGATTTAGGGTTTGGTTGCCGGTCCAAGTGTCCTCCTTCTTTGTGTGGTGTGGTTCATGTTGGGACTCATACTTGAGCTTGTAAGGTAATTTCCAATGATGACGACTGTGTCATGAGGAGTTGCTGTGCCCAAAGCAGCCGTGCTAGCTCAATGTAACGGCATAGTCCGCGCTCCGGAATAGTAAGGGGCCCCAACCCTCTCCCCTAGAATAATGGCCAAAAAAAGAGACCCCACAGAATCAGGATGTTTCTGATTCCAAGGCCAGGTCAATCATGCTAGGTTCAAGTAAGCAGTAGCACCATCAGAGGTAGCAAGAACTTGCAATCATAAAAGGTTGTGGAACTAATGACCCTGAAGCAACTTGCCTCTATTCTAGAGGGTTCTATTAAGGTTCAGAAAGACCTCAAGCAAGGACCGCCTGGGGTAGCTCAGGAAACAAGGTGTGAGCCATTATTTCCTAATGAGTTGTAAAAAGCAAGCCAGGTCTCAGAATCAGCTCTCTTATTCATATGAGCTATAGTCTAAACTCCTTAAAGGGGGATTATATAGGGGACTACTATAAGGGTTCTTAAGGGGGATACTAGGAGTTTAGACTATAGCTCATATGTTGAGAGCAGACTTACTAAGCAAGTCAAGTATCCAAATCAGATTACTTTTCCTGATGTTAAGAGCAGCACAGTAATTTCGTACTTCAAAAAGATTCAGAAGTATTGGCACTGAAACAACTGGCTAGTATCCTGTTGAGGGAGTTTTCCATTGATGTAAGGAAAGATCCTCTCACGCAAGGTTTATAAGGGCTAGCTGAGGTGTTGTCATAATTCCGTCCCCTTGACAAGAAAAAGCCCCTCTTCAAGAGCAGATAGACCGAATATGGTTTACAAGAAACATAGTTAGTTGATGGTATGGGGGTTTCATTCTTGTGGGTAGGGACTACAGTCTCGTGGTGCATTGTGTAATTCAAAGGGGTTCCGGGTTCCGTACTTTGGAGATGCCCAAGTTGTCACCATGAAGTTCCTACCTGGACCCCCAAAAGTATGTAAAATCATTGCCTTTTGGGCTGCTATTATTTTGCCTACTTTTGGGGTCCAGGTAAGTCTAATCCTGAATGCCAA